TTTTTTTTTAGCTTTCCCAAATAACTGGGTCTGTTGGTAATTCCAGGCGAGTCCACATCACATCAGTGACACTAGAACACCTAAATTCAGCCTATAAAGTAGAAGATGGGGATGGGCAGGAGCGAGACCCTTATCTGAAGGAGCATGGAGTCATCACATATTTGGTTATCAACCCAAAGGTAATGGAGCATGTTGAATATTTGTTACGGATCTAATAAAAGGCGGGAAAATTCCACAAGATCTTTTTTATTTTTTTTAGGTGGAACGTCGTAGCCCGCAACATCACTACAGGCCCAGGCACACTGTGGACGGAGCCAAGATGAGAGCCTCCGTTAGGATGACCCGCTACCTGGAGTCTTGGGGGGCTGCCAAGCCTTTCGCCAACTTGCACCACAGGGACAGCATGACCAATGAGAATGGCAAGATCAACACAGCTGTGAGCAACTCTCTCGACGTTGACTAATTATTTGTTGCCATTAGAAATGATGGGTGGATCTCGCTGCCGTGTGCGATCTCTTCATTTCCATTTTCCTTCTAGGATGTGCCACTGGGACAGTATCATTTCCAGAGGAGATCTGAAAGGCAAGCTACTTGTTTCACTGTTCCAGGATCATTTCCTTTAGAAGGATTATCTCCGTCCCTCGACAGTGCAGTGCAGTGTCGGACGACAGGAGTTTTAATAACTCTTGACTTCTGCTGAAGGCTATGACATGCATGACTAATCTTGTGTCAAATTAAAATGTTCGGTCTCTTTTTGCTCTTGTTAAAAGGACAAAGTCTCAGAAGAAGCGGTTTGAGGAGGAACTTAATGAGAGGATGATCAGGACCTTTGATGGCATCAATTCACAAAAGTAAGGGTAATTGAATGACTATTTCAATTTATTTGAATATTCCTGATTTTGAAACTTATCCACGTTATGTCCCAATTGACTGGCCTTTGTGCTTCTAGGCAGTGGCTTAAATCCGAGGACATCCAAAGAATATCTTTGTTCTTTCACAATAAATCCCTGGAAAAGGAGGTAAGAAGTACTTTGTAGTCAAGGTTACAAGAGAACTGGAGAATAATTCTTGGTTATTGGTTATCTCACATTGTCCTTATGATGAAACAATGACTTCTGCTGTCAGAATGCATTTCGAATCATCCTTTGTTTTTAATATACACATAAATGTACAAAAACGTATTTTACTAAAACTCACCCTTTTTATCATTTTAGTACAGAACAACAATCTTGCCAGCCTTCAAATACTACGTCACCTGCGCCTGTCTTATCTTTTCCTGCATTTTCATTGTGCAGATACTCGTCTTACCAAAGTACGTGGATTTTGTGACACGAAGCATGACAGTGAATAAACAGTAGTGTGAAAAATAATATCATGACAAATGATCCTGATTTGCTATATACATGTTATTTTTTTTCAGGACAGCAGTGTTGGCGATATCTTTTGGGATGGCATTCTTTCTCCTTTCCATAATTGTCTTCATATGTTTCATTGGGCACTTCATGGTGAGTGACATGTTCTGAGTCAATCAATTCTTTCAACAGGGCCAATTGCACTCTCTCCCTTGTTTAATCT